ATGATTTTGAAGTTGTTACTCTAAAATAAAGTATTTTCCCCTTTTTTTTCACGGCACTTGTTGAAAACACAACAAACAGAAACTAACTGGAACTGAGCCTGACTTGACTGAGCGGTTTCATCTAATATAACCAATATTTTTAAGGCTTATGTTCAAAGCAAACACTCAGTTCGTACAATGATTCCTACAAACGCAGTTCAAAACAGTACCTAAAGACAGACAAAATAGTTATTTTCACCCAAGGCCAAAAAAAAAAAAAAAAAAAAACAGCAGTTCTTACTGGCAAAACATTTTATGCTTTACTCACAACAAGTCTTTATATATGTGTGGGACTCCCACGGACTGCTACTCTTGGTCCCTGAGCAAGACCCATTAACCCCACACTACTCCCCGGGTACCGCAAAATGGCACCCCACTGCTCCTCAATGAGAGGGGTTAAATGCAGAGAGTTCATTTTGTTGCTTTGTACTTGTGAGAGTGTAATTACAATAAAGTTCAATTTTATTAATTCATATATCTTGTAAACAGCCACAAAGCAGCTTTTATAAAAAGAAAAAACATTCTAAGAAATGCCAAGAACAAGATGCACAAACTTCGAAACCAGGGGTGCAAAAACAAGAGAGACTAACTTTCTGCTAAAGTTTTACAATAGAATAGAATATAATAGAATTCATGAGTTATCTCAGTCAGTTGGTTAACATCTTGCTGATTTCTAATAAAAATAATGACATTATCAGCATAGGCAGATAAAACCGAACATTGGAAGCAGGGGTTCCAGGCAGAGCGCATAAACCATCCCGGACAGCATGCAGCCTTGCCGGACATCTCTACCCTCCCTGAAAGGAGCACACAAATGACTGTTAATCTTCAGCACGCTCTCAATGCTACTATACATCACCTTAATCTTGCCAATCAGGCTGGTGCCAAACCAAAACTACAGAAACACTTTACAATCATGTCATCCTTGTGCAGGGGTAATGCTAATTTTCTCTATAATCTTGCATATGTCATTAGCTCACAAGCAAATAGCACTGCCACTTGCTTTAGGTTTGACAGACAAATGCAGCTGCAGCATCAAATCGCCTATCAATCTCACATTCCTTTCTCTACTTATTCGAGAACAAGACCCCAAGATACTTCTGCACTAGGTGGAGTCAACTCCAATGTTGACTTGGGAAATCACAACTCTTTAATGCCCTATAAAAGACCCTGCTTTCCACAACGCCTGAATAGACCTTACCAGTGAGGATTAAGAGTGTGTAGTTGGAGCACAGCCTCTGGTCCCTTTCTAAATAGGGAAACCACCTCCCTGGTCTTCCAATCCAGTAAAACTGCCCCTGATATCCGCACAATATTGGAGAGTTATGTTAACCAACACAACCCCATAACATCCAGAGCCTTCAGGAACGCCAGCAGTAAAACTTTAGCCTTCAGGAAAGCCAGGCGAATATTATTTTATTGTAATTAACAAACATTTCTGAGTCTTATTTCCTTTATACCACAGTTAGATTTTTATTCACAAACTTGCTAAATAGAATAATTATGTTTTGAACTTTGTTTCTAAAATTAGAACTTGAGAAATGAGAAATGAATCCTTCTTGAATCCGACAGTTAATAGCTGTAAGCTGGATGATAACCAGGAAATTCTAATGGTTGGGAAGTTAACCGCAAATACCATATATTGTTATTTTTTATGTTTTATACTTATGCATTAAATTTTATGCTTATGCATTAAAACAATTGTTCACTGTGGTTAATAAATACAGATTTTACAGTAGGGAGAAAAACAGTTGGAATTGCTAATGAGTAATTGCTCGATTATTATATGTCTACTTGTTACTGTTGCTCACAAGTAACTGAGCTTCAACTTAAGCTAACTAAGTTACAAAAAATTGAGATAATGCATTTGTATTTTATTCAATGTATTCAAGTGACACTATTGAGATGTTGACTTCCACCAAGAAGGTCCTGGACCAGAATCCCAGCTGGGTTCTTGCATGTAGCTACTCTGCTGGTGTTAATCAATGATTTTATCTTTTTTTATTATTTATTTTACATAATCATTTATTTGTAATTATTTACTTTTATTCTCTTTAATTGTGTTGCCTCGGTGCCACTACAATGTACTCTTATTCCCTTTTCTCATGTACAACACTTAGATTTCTCTTGGCACTAACATGTAACCGGTACTATATAAATAACTTTACCTTGCCTTGCCTTGTTTAGTTTCTCTCTTCCCCTGCTTCCTCCAGTAAATATATAGTAGTAATTGTTTTTTTTTAAAAACTTGCTTTATCTATGACTGTGCATGTGTGAATTGTTATATGTCCAGTGGGAGTTGTGAAGGACCTGCAGTGCTTCTGAGGTGTACCACACCTCTCACCAAGTCATTGCTGGAGAAAGGCGGCAAATGATATGGTAGTGATGGATGGATGGATGGATGGATGGATGGATGGATGGATGGATGGATGGATGGATGGATGGATGGATGGATGGA